CCAAATTTGATTGAAAATAGAATTCTAAATTAACTTTTTTATCCTACAAATTGAATTCTATATAAATCTATCCTACGTGGCCCGACACTTGGCGAAAAGTTGGAACGCCAAGTGTCGCTATCTCGTCGCCTGTATAAAAGTTTAGCTTTTTATTAGTTATATGATTTGCGGCATTTGCCCATAGTATTTTTTTTTTAAATGGAGCAATGGTGTATATCGGTGGATAGTGGTGAATTGTGACCTACCATACATTGAATCCTGGATCCGCCATTGCATGGACCGCCCCATAGTTTAAAGGTGGAGTTGAACACAGGATATCTGTTGGGTACTTGGGTCTATTGCAATTTTCTATCCCTTAATTTTGGCGAGCCAAAGGCTAAACTTTCACATTTTCTCTCTCCTCCCTTATCCTATTTCATTTTGGCTTCAGCTATCTTCTCCAGTGTACCATTCTACTTGGTAAAATTCCCTCTTATTCTTCTACTTATTCATTCAAATTTGCTATTTTATTTGCTATATTCATGAATTTGTGCGCAGAATTATGGTTTCTGGTTAAAAATTAATGCCCATTTTGAAATTACAGTGTAATCATTACTAAAAAGAATTGTTCTTTATGTGTGCTTGTTATCTGTTTGATGAAATGCTTAAGTGAAGTTTTCTTTTTTTGTTCTTGTTCAAAGGTGGGTTTATTGCTAGAATTTTGGTGGCTACTTTGAATGAATTGGTTAAATTTCTGTTTTTGAACTTGAATGATTGTTGAAAATTGGGCATGTGAAAGTTTTTATTGTAAATGTTGAACTTGTAATGATTTTGTTCATTCAATCAGTTACGGCCCGTTTGGTAGGTGGTAATAATCGGGGTAATGGTAATGAATTTACATGTACTTGGGATGTAGCTGTTGCTTTTGCTGCATTTGTTTTTGTAATTGGTGATTTGGGTGTTGGAATTTGAGTTGTGAATCTTGTGATTGATATGTGTGTTTGTTGTGGTAGCATTGTATGATTGGTAAATTGTGTATTTCTTATATAAATTGTAGGTAGATGGCTTGTTCATCATCAACAACATGGAGTATGGCTACTCTTAAGTCAGCCTTGCCTTCGGTTCCTTCGGCTCCCATGTTCAGCAAGCTCCCCATTTCGGCTGCCTGTAATACTTCGTCCTCAAAACCACGTCGAGTGGGATTATCCCTACGCAGTTCTAAGCCTCTTCTACCACAATATAGTGGCCTCACTGCACTCTGCCCTCTTCTCTCATCATTCCCCTCTGGATCAGGTATAATCTCTATTCCTTTGGACAATTAGAATTGAGTTTGGCCGATTTTTCAGTTTTCTTTGGTTTGATTTGAATTAATTAATTAGGTACCTATGGAATCTTTTGTGACTGTGAAACATTATTTGAGCTTCTCTATGCACTTAATGAATGTCTTTGGGTTTTTTTATGATAAAATCTTTCAGTTTAATGTTGGGGTCTTATTTCTCACACACCATTTCTCATTGATTCACAGTCAAAGCAAATTAGCCAAATAGATTACATGGTTGTTGATATAATTACGCCGTAGTTTGTACTGAAAAGATCAAAAGAATGTGCAATTTCCACAACAGTACATTCTTTAATGTTTTAGACTCCCCGCTTTTCCTTAACACTTGTGTAACTGTACCGCTCATATATAATCTCAATTCAGCTGACAAAAGAATTTTGTTGCCTTTGACTAAAACTTTTAATTAAGGTCATTAATTGGAATGAATTCATGATCTGGGAGGCTTCCTTCAAGGTAGCTAGATTTTGGATAAGCTGGTTCCAAGAAAATAATTGGATTAGACTATAGAAAAGGTTGTGTATGGCTCCTTTTTTTTTGCAAAGCTTATACTTCAATCTGGATATAGTTTTCAAAGTGCAATAGTGTATTAGACTTATAGCTGTAAATTCGTAACTGAATATTCTGGTTAAGGAATACAAACAGTAGCAGTTGCCAGTTGGTTCTAAGAGATTGCTTTAGTTTCTTAAATTAAAAGGAGGCTTATAGGCAGATGAATTGTGACCTGTCATACATATGTTAGCACACATTGATTATGTATAGTGGACTTTGAGCCTAGAACCTTATATTGTGCTCTTGATCTGTGAAAGGGAAAAGGGTTTGTTTGAAAAATTGGATTCATCTTTAATCTGGCCATTACTTGAATGAGGTGTCATTTTTGTTGCTCTAATTCTCCATTTCAACCTCGAGTTGCGTGCTTACTATATCTGTCTCCTTTGTCAGAGAACACAGGCTTTGACAGTCTTTTTAGTATCATTGATAATGGAGGTCGGTTTTTTGCCATGAGACATGGAAGAAAAGTGCCTAAACTTAGCAGGCCCCCAGATCAGCGTCGTGCGCTTCTTCGAGGCCTTACAACTCAACTTCTTAAGCATGGACGTATTAAGACTACAAGAGCAAGAGCAAGTGCTGTGAGGAAGTATGTAGACAAAATGATTACCTTGGCTAAAGAGGGCTCACTTCACAAAAGAAGGCAAGCGCTTGGGTTTATATATGAGAAGCAGATTGTTCATGCCTTGTTTGCTGAAGTGCCAGAAAGGTATGGAGATAGAAATGGAGGATACACAAGGATCATCAGGACCCTACCAAGGAGAGGGGACAATGCTCCAATGGCCTACATTGAGCTAGTTTAGGTACTGATCCCCCTTGTTATAATTTTGACACTGGAGCAAGTCATTTTCCGTAATCATTCTCCTTGGAAGGTGATGTCGGTTTTTACACTCTGTAATGAATAGTTACTTGATGTTTCAATTTGCATTAAGCTTGTATCATGAGAGATCTTTTGATTCTGATGATATGCTAAAGTTGATACAATGGCATATCATCTTTGTTGTGTAGCTTTGGGGATTTTGGCGTACATTTTGTAGTTTATCATATTCAACATATTGTAATTGGAATTCTCCTGCCCTTTAGAACTACAATGATCAATGTTTTATACAGAACTTGGGTGTGGGTATGTGGTTGATTACCAAAGCTTTTGATGTTTTACTATCATTTCTTTAGCTTCATTATTCATTGGATTGGGCAGAATTGAGTAATTCAATTGTTGTGAGATTCATAATTTTGATGTTGGTATAAATTGTTTATCCTTGCTTGTTATCACACCATTGTTCATCGCTGATTTGGTTGCAGCTCTGTAAGCTAATATTGTTGCTGCACTTGCTTAGGAAATATTAGCTTAGTATCAAGTTGGGTCCTGGCAGAAGCTGCTTCTTTGACAGCATTGCTGTGATAGCCATTCATTTTAAATCATTTTTGCTTGATTTTCTGTTGATTACATTGACTGTACATGATCATAGATAAGTCTATTTGCCTTTGACTATGAGTCTATGATCATTTATGGAAATGATGTTGGTTTTGTAGCCTATGCTGTTCCAACAATGTTCACAATGATCCGACTCATTTCCATGCTTTAAATAGTTGCCAATCTTAGTCTTTTAGTCATTTGATTTTCCATAGTATTATTAGCACAAATGGTTTTACTGCATTATTGTTCAGTTTATCAGATATGGCTGTTATTCAGAGGTCGAAAATAGATTGTTACTTTCAAATTCATGACAATTATTAAACAGGCATGCAGTCTGTTTTAATGAAAGCTCATCAGACCTTGCCCTCATTAGTAAAACTAACAATTCTAAACGGGCCTAAACCATAATGCTTGTAAGAGTTCTCACTTCTCAGAATCAGTACATTCCTCCAAACCTTATGTAAAACCAATGACAGAAAATTCTCTCAACAGGGATTTGTTAAACATCGCCCGCAAATCTCCACATAAAGCCCACAAATTAGACATGGTTTGACAATTTTGCCCATTTCTAAAATCGTACCCAAAGTGAACAAATCTCGATCTAACAAATGTGGAGTCGTACTGGGTTGCCCAGGGAGGCCGGAGAGGCGAGGGTCGCCAGAGATACGTCGTCTTCGACGGAAAACGAGGTGGCGCCTAGTTTGGACGCCGGAACCATGGCAAGGACGTCCAGGCAAGGCGCCACAACCAGTGCACTGGCGTCCAGGTCAGACGCCACAACCAGTGCACTGGCGTCTAGCCCAGACGCCTCAACCAGTGCACTGGCGTCCAGGCCAGGCGCCACCACCAGTGCACTGGCGTCTGGTTTGGACGCCGCCCTTACTTTTTAATTTTTTTTTTTTTTTGCCTTTTTTTTATTATGTTTATTAAATTTATGTTTTGATTTAGGATGTGGAAATTTATGTTTTTTATTTGATTTTATAAAAAATATATATACTAGACTTATAAAAAATAACACATAAAATTAATAAATATTAAAAAAAAAATCAAACACATTAAAAAAAAATTAGAAATTTTTTCTGATTTTCCAAAAAAAAAAAAAAAAAAAAAAAAAAAAAAAAAAAAAATTAAGGCAGCTGGGGCGCCTGGCCAGGACGGCCCGTGGCTGGTGGTGGCGCCAGGTCCGGCAGCCACGTCCACCGGCCTGGCGTCTGGGCAGGACGCCCAGCCACAGTGACTGGCGCCTGTCCCAAACGCCACTCACCGTGGCTGGGCGTCCTGCCCAGACGCCAGGCCGGTGGACGTGGCTGCCGGACCTGGCGCCACCACCACCTTGCCGCCACGAGCCACCACTACCTTGCCGCCACGAGCCAACCACCTTGCCGCCACGAGCCTCGACATCCCCGTACTTTGATTTTTATTGAGGTTGTGTGTTTTTTTTTAAGGTCAAGGGCAATATTGTAACTTCAATATAAGTTTGTGGGCTTTATGTGGAGATTTGCGGGCGATGTTTAGCAATCCACTAAAAAAGACCCTTCTCCGCAAGAACAAGACCTGATAACCCGTTCATCCAAAAAACCAAAAAGAAAAATTACTCATCTCATCTTCAATAAAGAGGATAATCTTCACAATAAGAGCTTTCCTGGAGAAAAAAATCTAATTGTCAATGAAAAAACTCAGAACCAAGCAGGGCAAAATCAGTCAACATCATTTAGAGACATGGTTGCTGCTAATAACCATGTTGGTGTGCAGGGCAATCCTCTCATGGTTGATGAAGAGGATGAAATTTCAGATGATGATGAGCCTCCAGATGATATAGCCGAGGATCCAAAATGCCCTATCATCCTCCTTTCAAAAGAAGAAAAGAGGAAACTCAGGCAACCATGGAAGCACACATTGATCATTAAAATGTTCAATAGCAAAATTGGTTATATGTCCTTAATGAAGCGTCTAAAGCGCAAATGGGAGTTGAAAGGGGGATTGTCTCTTACTGACATAGGACATGATTACTTCATTGCTAGGTTCTCAAATATAGGAGATTATAATCATGTGCTTACCCAAGGCCCTTGGATGTTAGATGACAATTATCTAACAATCCGGAAATGGATACCTAATTTCATTCCAGATGATGCTCCTATGCATTTCCTCACAGCCTGGGTCAGAATACCAAACCTTTCAGTTGAGTATTTTGACAAGGAATTTTTGCATAAAATTGGTGGCAAAATTGGCAAAGTCATAAGAATTGACAACAACACTGCAATGGCTCAACGAGGCCAATTCACAAGGTTAAGTGTTGAACTTGATCACACCAAACCTCTGCTTTCGAAATTCTGGCTAAAAGGGAGAATTTGGAAGATTCAATATGAGGGGCTACGCATGATCTGTTTCAATTGTGGCAAGATTGGGCATCAGGGTGACAATTGTGAATCCATGGAACACCCAGACAAGGATAGAGTCGTAGTCCCAGAGGCAGTCATACCCAAAGAAGCTGATGTGATTCCTACGGTGGAACAACAGGACTATGGTGTAACACCCTAGAAATTCCTTTCTTTAAATACTCATTCTACTCTTTTAAAAATACGATTTAGGAATAACTAAGACATTACCGCCACCGTGAAAATGGCTAAGGCAATTATCAAAGATACACAGCGGAAGACTCAAAATTTAAAACCGATTAAACAAGTCAACCCAAAGTCAACCAAACGAAAATAAAGTTTAAAAACCAAACGAACAAGTCAAATAAATTCAAATTACAACTTGGAACCATTAAAGGCCCTTATTCAAAAAACCGTTCCCGACTCAAACCTTTATGTTAGTCCACACATAATATATCATAAATAAATAAAGCATAAAACACATTGTAATCTAATGAAAACTAATAGGATTCACTCTTCACTCATGCCCCATCATGATCATGCTTCAATACTTGAAAAGTTTATCTCTACTTGCTTCCACTACTCTCCATTAAAAATGGGTCATCATAGGGCCAAGGAAAAGACATGGCCAAAAACACAAACACACACAATCAGCAAAGCTGAGTACATAAGCGTAAAATAGCCACACTAACATGCTTTCACCTATCAACACACACTTACCTCATTGCACCTGTTCACAAATACCAATCGACACAATATAATGACTAGACCCTAATTAATTCGTTTTGCATTGATTACGCATCGAACGGGTTTCCACCTATTAACCTCCCCCAAATAAATTTGAGGTTAACTGGCACGGGAGCTAACCGTGCCAGCGACAAACCACACGAAGGTGGCGGAATTCCTGCGCATAATAAATAATAAAAAGGAATATACAGCGTCCTGTACTCCATTGGAAGTTATGGTTAAATATAAAACCCCATAACCCCCCCATTGTTCATACTCAAGGTATATACGTTCCAAGAGTTTTGGTGCGTAATCTCTTTCACTTTATGTTATTTACATATTATTAGACTTGGTGATGACTCTCAAAGCATAATAAATCAATCAACAATAATTATTCAATCAAACAAACACACCAATTTAATTCTTGAATAATTAGTGACCACATATTATTTAATGTTGAACCCTTTTTAATTCTACCTCAGTGTCAAAAACACCTTAAACGCATAATGCGCCAAAAATCCTATCCCTCGGTGTTAAAAACACCTTAAGTGCACAAAGGCACCAACATACAATTTATTCCTTGTGTACCTAGACACTTATATAACTCCTTCCTCATGCTTAAAGCATCAATAAAAATTATTTGAACCATAATAAAATTCCTTTTCAATATTCCAAACATAATTAAACATGTAGTTTAATTAATCATGCCTTCTAACATGCCATAATTAAAAATGTGGTTCAAACACAACATGCCAAAAATACAATTTTCCAATCCATAAACCATCATAAATAATTCATGCTTCACCATTCAATTACAAACACCATAAACTCACAATTCCATACATAAACCTTAGCATGATTCTACTTATAATCAATTACAAACAAACCTACCATGATTCTACATCACCAAATTATGCTAAGTACGCGTACGTACCTTGAGTACGTTATTAAAACTGCCACGACTAGTAGAAATCGCTTACTTCAAAGTCTCCTACATATTAAATCCATAATAGAGTATTAATATCCACTCTAAACAAATTTCCAGAAATATATACTATTTTAAAACCCTTCATAAATTAATTAGAATAAGCTGAAATTATATTTAAAACACCATAAATTAAGTCCCAATTAATGGGTAATTAAAATTTCTTCAAGAAACCTAATATCAAGTGTTCTACATAAAATTCCAACACTTTATTATACTTAAAACTTGCTGTAATTTGGTTTTAAAACACTTAAAACAAAGGCCTACCCTATAATACATCATAATTTTTCAATAAATCATGAAACAAGAACCCAGGGTTTCAAAAATTGGGGCTTTTTAATTAAAAACCAAATCTGAAAATTAATTCCCACAATTACAATAACCAAACATCAAAATTAAACCTCCAAACTCATAATTTATAATTAGATCTAAGAATAGATTAAATTAAAATAAGAAAGCTAAGTTTTTTTTTATACTCGAAAAAGGGGTACAAAGAGGGGGAGAAAAGCGGTTGCCGGCAGCGGCGGTGGCCACCTACTGCAGGCGGGTGCGCTGCTGGCAGCGGCGGTGGCCACCTGCTGCAGGCGGCGTGCGCTGCTGGCAGTGGCGGCCACCAGCTGCCGGCGGCTGGCAGTGGTGGGGGAAAAGGGGCAGCCGAAAAAAATAAGGGGAATGGGAAAAGAAAAAGAAAGAAAAATAAGGAGGAGAGAGAGAGAGAAGTTTACCTTGGGTTTTCTCCACTCTGGGCAAAGTTGATTTGCCTCATAAGAGGGATATTTATGCCCCTTCTCTATCTCCCCTTTTTACCCTAACTTTCCTCCTTTAGTTTTTCCTAATCCCTTCCCTACTAAAACTTGTTAAAAATCATAAATTCCTAAAATAAAACCCCAACTTCTATTAATTAATTAATTGAACGAATTTTTCTTTTGTAAAATATTCCAAATTTACATGGGATAAATAATTAAAACATCATAATTAAAATGCTAGAGTTATTTAAATACCCTTATAAAATATATATATTAAATAAAATACGTATAAAATGTATATACATTAAATAAAATACGTATAAAAATACGGGGTATTACATATGGCTCATGGATGTTAGTCAAGAAGCCTTATATGTCCATTTTATATAGTGTTTTATCCCCGCCCCTTGGTCGTTATTAGTAGTGTTTTTGGCTCTTTCGGGCCACTTTTATTACTAATTTGTGTGTTCTAGTGTTTTCGTAGTTCTAGTTGTATTTACAGAAAATTGCACTTTTGGAGCATTTTCCCGGGCTTTATGGATCGACTATGGAAGCTAGAAGGACACGACCACTCTTGAAGCCCAGGATCGGTGAGAGCTGGTGATTAAGGGCTCGGTATGTGATACCGGGGCTATTGGATCAATTAATCAAGACCCAATGAGGAAATCCAGATTGGGCCGAGGAATCGAGCCCAATCGAAATCCAAGCCTCAGAGAAGAAGCCGGGTCCGATCGGGCAAGCATACGCCCGATCGGGCGAGTGCACGCAGAAGCAATCCTCAAGGAAGAAGCGCGCCCGATCGGGTGAGCGTAGGCTCGATCGGGCGCAGCATACCAAGCAAGGGCAGAGTGAAAAGGCGGGCCCGATCGGGCGGCCCTTCGCCCGATCGGGCGCGTGTTTTTCTTAGTAGCTGATTAGTTTAGTTTTAATTCTTATTTTAGGAAAGGTTTAAATACGATTATGTACGGAATTATTAGCTTACCTTCTTTCTTAGACTTTCTCTCTCTACTTAGTATTTTTCTCTCTCTTAAATTCTCTCTAAACTTTTGTTCTTAATACTTCCTTTAATTCCAGATTTAATTTTTGGTACAATTTCTTCCCTTTTAATTTCAGCTATTTTAATTGCTTTCTTGATTATGCTTTTAATTATTTACTTGATTTGCTTAGTTATGATGATTAGTGAGTAGTTTCATTCTAGGGTTTATGGGGATCCATAATTAATATGAAGGGATAGTTTTTTTATTATTGATTATTGATATTGCATGATAATTTCCTATTGAATTGTTTTAATTCTTTGCAATTAGATTATGAATCGAGTAGATGTAATTTGATTGTGAATGTTTAGCAATATTGAATTGATGATTCGAGCAGATGTTGATTTAATATTAAAGGCTAATTTTAATAGGAACTTAGGTCTAGTAAATTGCGAGAGCTTGTTAGATCTATGTTGATTAATAAATTGCGAGAGCCTGTTAATCATGTTATCTGTGCTTTGTTAATTATTAATTACTTCGTTCTATCCCGGAATATTAATTATAGGTGAACCTGTGACCCTAGGCTTCCTTATTATTATTTCTTTTCTCCCTAAACTTATTCTTCGTAGTATAGAATTCATACCTAAAATTATTAGTTACTTAGATAATTTGGATTATAATAATTAATTAGAATTAAAAAGACATGTTTCCCTGTGGAGTTCGACCCTACTTCCCTACCTACTTTAGTTAGAGATTTAGGTAATTATTTTTTATTAGAGGATATGACTTTACCCTGTCAAAGCCTCCTCCCAGGAAGAGACCGACCAAACCGGACAAAGCTCAAGCTGTGACACACAAGGATGGTCAAGTCAGGGGAGTAGGTCAAGGTCAGGGTATTGTAGCTAAGGAGTCAACGCCCAAAAATACCGGGTCAAGATTTGCTGCGCTGGAAGAGCAGTTTGGGGAAACAAATATGGAAGTTGAGGATATTCCTCACGAGAATTCGGGAGAGATGGCAGTGAATCTTGGAGAAAATTCTGCAAAGGTAAATAATCTTATCAATTTGGAAAACCCCTCCAAATTTGAAAATAATTTACCTAAAATCCCTTTTCCTGGGAAGATCAAATCAAAATCCCAAAGTTAGTGGGCAATTTATGGGAGGATTGAAAAATTGGCAGGAAATTAGGAAAAAAGATAATTCTTTGCCTAATTCGATTCTAAAAGATAAAACTAATAATTTATCCTTGGGACCCACCCCTAAAAGACCCTAAATGCTAAATTAGGCAAGGAAAATAACACGACTAATTTCGAAGCCAATACTGATGCCCCTACACAAGCAAACACAGAAGCCATAACCATCGAAACCTCGTTAGACACTCCTGAGCTACCAAACCTGTCCCAACTTTCTCCCATCATCACCCATGTCTCACCCACTGCCTTCTCCAATTCGACTTCAGGTCCCACCGGAGAAGATACTATGCGTGAGTTTGCCAACGGAAGAACCGTATCTGTACATTCTCGACCCCCTGATCCACAAGATGGAGGTGGAGATTCACTCATGGGAGGTGTCGAAGCAAGTGACACCGGAGCTAATGGTAACACTGAAATTACCATGGAAGATTAATCAAGCGTTTAAGTACCTCTTAAGCGCATATGCTGCCAAATTTCCCGAATCAAGTGTGCTTATGAATAATAACCACAATATGATTTCCAATTCCTATTCATAACGTGT